ATGGGCGTGGCACCGCCCACTTATGATCACATATATGTATCTCGGTAACCGTTCTACCAATTTGTACCAAACTCGGTATGATTATTGTGCCTGCCACATAGAAGCAAAACGTTGAAAATTACTGGAATCAGATTAAAATTACGACCACTTTTCATATAACGGCAAATTTCAGAAATGCTTGAAACTTCAATATTTCGAAATTTAAGGACGCTAATTTACTCAAAATTGATACACACCGGCTTACCATGTAGCGGTACCTGTGCCGGGTATTTAATGTTCGGCTCCGCTCGAACTTAGACTTTCTTACTTGTTTTTCTTTTTTTTTAACCGATTTCCAAAAAAGGAGGAGGTTATCAGTACGTCGGAAATTTCTTTTTTTTTTATGTATGTTACCGCATAACTTTGGACCACGTCAACCGAGAGGTGGTCCCATACTAATCTGGTTTAGATCCGATCAATGGATCATGAAATATATATATATATCTTTTTTTTAAGTCGTTTTTTTTTTTGCTAAAAACTACTTGTTTTCAGTATACTCCTCTATTTTTTAGATTTTATTGTTTTAACCATAGAAGTACATTCTTCGTCGAATCGACTAGCCGGCGACGTGTGTTGCTTACGTATACAAATATAAAAATGTTAGTACTGCTGGAGTTCATTTTTTTTTAATTTCATTTAATTTTTAGGAGCAGGTTTGATTTCTTTTTCTTTTTTTTAACTGTATACTTCAAATTTTTTATTTTATTTTCTGTAAATTTTAGGATTTTACTGTTTAAAAAATAACATCATTTCATTTTCAAAAACTTACTTGATTAGCTTTTTATTTTTTTTATGTAATTTTTTTCTTTTTTAACATAATTTTCTTTTAGTTTTTAGTTGTTATACATATATGTAGTATATGCAAAAAGAATAACGCTTAGATCTCCTTGTTAACAGATCTTTCAATTAGTCTTACGAAAGACAGAAAAGAGCTTCCAAGATAGTTGCCAGAATTGGCAATTGTTTTTCAAAAGGCTTTGGTGAGCCAGTATTGCCCTGTAAAGTCAAGATTATCTGATGCCCATATGTCCATATGAAAGCTCGGGCTGAAGAAATATAAATGTGTCTACTCAAGTGAAGCGAGGTGTAGGTACATCTGTGATGAAAATCAAGTGCTTTAATTTATAATAATGAAAATGCTGTAACCATTTTACGCGGTTTTTTTTCCGATCTCAAAGATCGAGTATGATATGAGAGGAGGATGTATAGGCCTTTAAAATGGTATACAATAATCTGTTGTCGGACTTGCCTTGTTGGGATTTTTTATAGGGTAAAGTAAAATAAAACCCATATTTCTCTTAGTTTTTTATATTTTGACCATCGATAATTTCCACAATTTCAAAATATGGAAAACTACCTAAAATTAAATCTATTTTTAAATAAACTGATAGCTCATTTAATGAAATCGCATGCAAATTGTCGAAGTAAGGCGACTTTTCTTAAATAAGGCCTTGAATTTATACTGTTTATGTGCCGGACTTTCAAATTTTTTGAGCGAAAGAATTTCAAATGTTTTCTCATAACGCCCGTCATTCTGGATTTATGAACTTCCTAAAAAATTTATAACCAAATAGGAAGAAATAACACAATTTAATGAAAAATTTAATTTATTTTGAATCTACTTTGTGAAATTTTAAAGTTCTTTTCATAATTCCGTATATTCAGCGTCATCGTTAAATTTCCTTAATCGTCACATTTAGCCGGACGCTCACCAATCTGGTTTCGCTTTGTTCCAGCCTATGTGATGAAAAAAGATAAAATTGATTACTGAAACCTTATCTCTTTTGTTTTGTACTCACTATCACGGGGAACTCTTGTTGGTCTCCAAGTTGGGCGTGTAGGTCTCCAAGTTGGGCGTGTTGGTCTCCAAGTTGGGCGTGTTGGTCTCCAAGTTGGGCGCGTAGGTCGCCACGTTGGTCGAATACCAGCAGGTCCTGGATCTCCAGGCTGCGCTTTAATCATGGCTATAGCAACGAAAAGCACAGCTCCGAAGACTAGAATTTAAAATGTTAGTTAAAATGTATCATGGCGGTAGGCAAAAACTTACGAAACACGAAGGAATTTTTAGGCAGCATATTTTTGATTATTTCAGTTAGGGGAATCAACGTCAACTGTTGGCTCTACATCAATTTAATTATGGTTTTATAGTTAAGTAGATAGCAGGTAATAAATAATGTTTAGGTAACACTTGCCGGCCTTTATTAATAGCAATTGCTAAAAATTATAACAATGAAATTTAAATAAAGGAATGTCTGAATGTAGATTGTGAAAAGGTTTATTTGTTAATGAAGCAGAAACGATTATTTCCGGCCGGCAAGACAATTAAGAAGATATGGTGAGACAGATGAAACTCAAAATTTCACATTATATGTACATGCGTACATATGTACATAATATGCATGTAATAAATATTTACAAATAATTAAAAATCAGTGTTCGATGCTTTCCAGAATAAATGTAGGTAAACAACAGCAGTTTAGCTAGAAAAATAAAAATTTCAGTAGTAGGATTTCAAAAATGTTTAAGGTCATTGGTCGTGAGTTCAGGAACGACGATATGCGATTTCATGAGTTGCATATATCAAATTTTTCTACATGCAGCCTTGCATATACATATACATATGTATGTGCTGCCCTTTTAGGCGGGCCCATCGAGGTTGTGGCATAAGTGTTAGTAGTTTCGCCTAAGAAATCCTTTTTTTGAGCTATTAAGTATGAAGTATTTGCTGATCTTCTGATTAAAAGATATAACGAATTTTGATTGAATAATGCTTTATTAAATCAATTCAACATAGTGTTTAACTAACTCGACCAAGTATAAAGTGGCATTGTTTAAATAGTTTCCACAATCTTGTTGTTCGTGTCCCCTTTGCTGGAGGAGATACGGTTGTACGTGGTGGAAGAATGCCCACCCTTGCTGGCCTATGCGGTGGAACTATTCCTTGCCTGCGTATTCTAATTAGTAATGGAGCTTGAAGCTCAGTATCCAAACCTAGTTTAACTCGTTGAGCGTGGGCAATAAGAATTAGCCCGGAAAGGAAGGCTTTGGAAAAAGAAATAAGAGGAGATTGTACATTGTTTTTTTTTTTTAATGATTTCACATTGGTTTACTTACCTAGGACGAAGATGTGTTTCGGTAACATATTGCCAAGCTGTTGTAGAGTGTGCAAACAATTTAGTTTTAAATTACAGATTTAGACGCTTTTTATACAGAAACAAAGTTTCTGGTTATCCAGCATTCATGCCCAACGCCGGCAGAACCCCATAAGCATGCCATGCCTGGTTTATAGTATATTCAAACACACCGCGCATAACATGAATAGGTATACTTTTTTTCTTTATTAGCCGTGCTGTTATCTTTAGTTGTGAGCATCGGAGAACCGGTGATGCGATAACCAATTTGAGTGTATTCTTGAACCACTGCACATAGTTAGATGGATCGGAATTTTTGGTGGACAAAATTCTTACGTTTTAACTTATAACAACTTTTTCCAATTTTTTTTTTTACCGCTGATATCGATTGTACTCAGTTATAAGAATTTACGTCACTCTCATTCAACGAAAATGTTTGGCCAACCTCCGTTTTATAGTCAGAAATCCAGCAATCTAAGCATGTTCGTAGCAAACACTACACTTCCTATACTTTTTTTTTAAGATTTTGTTGTATTAACCACAGAAGTACATTCTTCGTCGAATCGACTAGGCGGCCATGTGTGTTGTTTACGTATACAAAAATAAAATTGTTGGTACTTCTAGGGTTAATTTTTTTTTAATTTAATTTAATTTTTAGGAGCAGATTTAATTTTTATTTTTATTTTTTTAAACTATATACTTCTATTTTTTATTTAATTTTCTTTTAATTTTAGGATTATACTGTTTAAAAAATAACATAATTTCACTTTCAAAAACTTTTTTAATTAACTTTTTATTTTCTTAATTTAATTTTTTTTCTTTTTTACCATAATTTTCTTTTAGTGTTTATATATATATGCAAACGGAATAACGCTAAGACCTCCTTGTTAGCAGACTTTCAATTAGTCTTACGAAAGACAGAAAAGAACTTTCAAGATAGTTGCCAGAATTGGCAGTTGTTTTTGAAAAGACTTTGGTGAGCCAGTATGGCCCTGTAAATTCAAGATTCTCTGATGCCCACATGTCTAGATGAAAGCTCAGGCTGTAGAAATATAAATGTGTCTACTCAAGTGAAGCGAGGTGTACATCTGTTATTTGAATGTTTATAAAAATGAAAATGCTGTTATCTTTTTATGGAAGTAGAACAGTAAACAAAACGTAAAACATATATTTTTTATAAATCTGATGCACAATCTGATGTACAATGATAAAATAACTTACAAGTCTGTACGCTCTCAATTTCTGTTGAATAAGACTCATTCTTTACAACACTCCCACTTTTAAAACAGCTACACATGTACGTATTGATGAATGTGTGTATGTATATTTATTCCTTCATCAATATTTATTCAAAATTGATATATGTATGTATACAACATTCTTTAGCAAACACCGATCACAACCAAATTTGGTACACACATTGCGCTTAGCGTCCTCCTTTGAACAAAAGCTCTGAAAGTGCGGTCTATAAACAATACAAATTCTAGGCCGTATTTAAGAAAAGTTGCCTAACTGCCGATATTTTTTATGCGATTGCAATAAAGTAGCTATCAGTTTATTTGAAAATAGATATAATTTTAGATAGTACTCCTTATTTTGCAATTGTGGAAATAAGTGAGTCAAAATTAAAAAAAATAAGAAAATATTATTTTTTTTTAGTTTTCCCGATGAAAAATGGCAACAATCCTAGTCAGACAATAGAGTATTATATACCACTTTAAAGGCCTATATGTGTTCTTCTTAGATTATATTCGATCTTTGAAATTGAATCAAAAATCTGCAAAATCGTATTTTCAGACCTAAATCGACAGTTCGAGACTTCTAAATGACATTTAAAAATCTATAAAATAGGCAATAATATTCCTCATAAAAACGAATAAAATTAGGAGGTAGGGTCTTGAAATTTCTAAAAAAAAACATTTTCGTTGGGCACCCTAACGTACACATATGTATATGTGCGAACATTTATGACAAAGAAGAGAGCGGGCACATTCATAATATGATACACTGAGCATACGCTAATTTATTATATGGATAAAGAAAAGGATAAAGGTGAAGGTAAAAATAAAAACAAAAATATATGTAGATGCGTAAAGATAAATGCAAAAATGAAGATCAAGTTAAATTTAAACATTTTACTTATGTATATAAAGGCAAAGGTGAAGGGGAATATGTAGATGAAGAAAATGACAAACATTAAGGTTGAAACAAGGATAAATATTAAGAAAAAGATGAGCATGAAAATACCGATAAAAGTAAAGATGAGTAAAGATGAGGACTTTATTTCATGAGGACGGAAGATTAAAATAAAGGTAATTACAAAGAAAATGATATAGATAGAGACACAGAGACCAAACCTTGGAACTATTTCGGGATTTTCGGTATTCTCGGGACTTATCGTTAAAATAATAGACATTTTTATAGATTTTGTTATCGGTTAGGGTATCGATTTAATTATCGATATTTTTATCGATTTGGGTATCGATTTTACTATCGATATTTTTATACGTTTTCGGGACTATTCGGGATTTTCGGAATCTTCGGCACTATTTCCAGATTTTTAGACTATTTCGGGATTCTCGGGACTATATCGCGATTTATTAAATATATCCAAATATATTTCTTAATTGATAGCGGATTTTAAATCAATAAGATTTTAAATCACGCAACCCTGCCAACGCATGACGGCAAATTTGATACGCACTTCTACGGTACAATACGTACACGATTGAGAGAAATAGAGATTGCGGCAATCGCTTTACCGCTAATCCGCTCTTTGTGATTTTGACAGAATCAGCTGCGTGCGTGACGTCATCTTGGTGCAATTGTTGATTGTGAGCATACGAAAAAACCAAATAACAATTTTAATATTTGTGCGTTAATATTTCTGCGTGGTTTTAAATAATTATTGAGACATTACAAAGCAAACTGAAGTGTGCAGTGGCAAAATGTAATAGTGAGAACAAAAGGAAAGCGTGCGATATAAGTTTTTTTTTGTTTCCTACGCACGCAAACCTGGCGAAAAAGTTGAAGCAGTTCTGCCGGCGAGGAGATGCATTAAACACCAAATCGAGCTTTGTGCTATGTGTGTGAGCTATGAGCTTCTACATGGAACTATGTTGGCCTTTCCTTGGTGAATTGTAGTAGGTATATTTCCACGATGAATGTAGACAGTTGCTGGTTTAGTTTGCTGGCAATAGATACAAGAACTTCACTACCTACTTATTTTTTTTAGTACCTGATTCTTTTTAGTGCTGGTATGAGGTAATGCACCAGTGGATAAGGTCGACAGGCGCTAATTCAAGCGGCATCTTACCGCGCTGTTACGTACCTAATACAAAACAGTGTCCAAATAATTATACATTTAAAAGTTCAGCTTAAATTATGTTTTACTTACATAGAGTGTTTGTTTCCATAGAAGCCACACTCATGCATCCTCTCGGAAATGGTACAAAAGTCATCAAATAAAAGCTGTGGAGTCAACAGCTGTGGAGTTTATGGTGGTTGGCTACCGTCCACAAATATAAATAAATAAATTTAATACAAATACTTATTTTATCAAGAAGAATCAGTAGACCGATTTTCAACTTCCCAGCCTAAGCCGTTTAGTTGATGCCAACTTTTAGGTCATTCTGCTTCACTGTGCGTCGGGTATACAGGCAATTTTTTCCACTATCAAGGGAAATACGAAACTTATACTTATTTGTATAAAATAACGATTATCCTTGGATGCCTCAGCGTGAGGGGCAATAAGGATGTTTGTATGTATTTTTAAAAATAAATACTGTGGCCAATTAACCATCACTTTACATATCTGGTGATCATGCAGTGTCCGCCAAAACTCTGGACGAGTTGTCGGTAATTGCGCCAGACTAGACGATGCATGATGGCATCACCTACAACTTAAGAAAGTTTTTCTAAATGTATATCGTCGTTTAAAGTACAAAATCGCCCATCAACAAAATGCAAA